ACCAAAAAAAAAGACATATGCACCCCTATGTGTACTGCAGCACTATTTACAATAGTGAGGAAATGGAAGCAACCTAAGTGTCCATCAGTAGATGAATGGATAAAGAAGATGTGGTACATATACACAATGGATTATTCAGCCATAAGAATAAAACAGATCCTACCATTTGCAACAACATGGATGGAGCTAGAGGGGATTATGCTCAGTGAAATAAGCCAGGAGGAAAAAGACAAGTATCAAATCATTTCACTCATCTGTGGAGTATAAGAACAAAGAAAAAACTGAAGGAACAAAACAGCAGCAGACTCACAGAACCCAAGAATGGACTAACAGTTACCAAAGGGAAAGGGACTGGGGAGGATAAAGGAACAAAACAGCAGCAGACTCACAGAACCCAAGAATGGACTAACAGTTACCAAAGGGAAAGGGACTGGGGAGGATGGGTGGGAAGGTGGGGTAAGGGGAACAAGGGGGGGAGGCATTACTATTAGCAGACATAATGTAGGGGCAGTCACAGGGAGGGCTGTACAACACAGAGAAGACAAGTAGTGATTCTATAGCATCTTACTATGCTGATGGACAGTGACTGTAATGGTGTATGTGGGGGGTACTTGGTGATGGGGGGAGTCTAGTAAACATAATGTTCCTCATGTAATTGTAGATAAATGATACCAAATTATAAAATATAAAATAAAATAAAATGAGAAAACCCAGGAGACTTCACATAGGAATGCAGATTTCCAGCTTCTCTTGAAAGTCCAGAAAATTTGGCTAAACTGTTGTCACACTGCACATGACAGCAAATGAACAGGGCAGGTCATCTCCAGTTCACCACAGTCCCCAACACTCTCTATTGTCTCTCCAACTCTAACATAAATGCCAGTTACACTTTTTTATTGTACTCATACTGTTATTTCTTACAACTGAGTTATGAAGGAAGTCAACTGTTTCCAATACCCATGTTACAATCAAAGCAGGAGAATACTACATGTACAAAGAGGACCATATGTCTGAAGAAAAATGCAAACATATTTCCTTGTCGAAATAAAAAAAATTCCTATATTTTAATATGAAAATAATACAAGTCTGTGTCAAAAGAATACATATCACGATGTACTTCTGTTCTTTACCTCACATGCCTAGAGAATGTTAAGTAGCCTGGATCATAAAAGTACCTACATTCAGTTCTGCAAAAAATTAAGCACAGAATTACCATACAATCCAGTAATCCCACTTCTGGGTATATACACAAGAGAACTGAAATCAGAGTCTCAAAGAGATATTTGTCCACCCACATTCATGGCAGCATCACTCACAAAAGCCAAGATAGAAACAACCTAAATGTCCATTAACAGATGAACAGATAAACAAAATATGTTATATACATATAACAGAATAATATTATTCAAGTCTTAAAAAGGAAGGAAATTCTGACACAGGTGACAATGTAAATAAACCCTGAGGATGGTAAGTGAAGTAAGCTAGCAACAAAGGACAAATACTGTATGATTCCACTTACATGAGGAATAGTCAGATTCAGAGAGACAGACAGTAGAAGGGTGGTCAGGGGCAGGGGGAAATGGGAAGTTGTTGTTTAATGGGTATAGAGTTCCAGTTTTGCAAAACAGAATTCTGGAGACTGGATGTACAACAATGTGAATGTACTTAACACTACTGAACTATACACTTAAAAATGGTTAAATTGGTAAATTTTATGTTATATATATTTTAGCACAATTAAATTTTTTAATTAAAAATAAAGTAGCTATGATCCCCTTACAAAATCTCCAATTCTACTTATTGCTATCTTTGTCTTTACTTTAGCATTAATTTGTAAAAAAGTTCTAGTTAGTTGCATTTTCTGGTTTTAAATTAGACTAATCCAGAAAGTGCACCCTGCTGTTATCAAAAAACAAACCTCAAGGATCATTAATGAATGCTCAGACCATTAGGCTAAAGGTTATAAAGTAAAAGGATTTAAGCATGCTGCTAGAATATATCACTCTACAGATTACTTGCTAACTGTAAAAGGGGGAAAAAAACTCTTATAATGTCACATGATATCTGGTAGATATCATCTTACCAAGCAATCAAACTGGGATCAGTAACTGTGGGACAACCTAACATTATGTGCTTCTTGCTGTGATATAATATGAAATACACAGTGCCACCTATACGTTCTCTTAACAAAAATAATTAACATGAATCTAATCAAGCCAAGGGACCTAACTTCAAGTTTACAGGAAATACAGAGAAAACATACTATAAGAAAACTGGCCTGGTCTCATCAATGTATGAAATATGAATTTGAATATGGACAGGATACTACGTATTAGGAACATACTGTTAATTTTCTTAGGTGTGAAAATGGTACTGTAATTATGTAGGAGAATGTCCTTATTCTTAGAAGACGTATAATGAAGTATTTATGATAGTACCATGGTGTCTGCAATTCCTTTCAAATAAGGTTAACAGAAAGAAAAAAAAGTGTGTGTATGTATAAAAACATAAATAGATAAAGCAAATGTAGCCAAACTTCAGCAGTCATTTAATCTACATATGTAGGTGTTCATTGTTCTGTTCTTTCAACTTTTCTGTATGTTTGAAAGTTTTTATAGTACGTTGGGGAAAAATAAAAAGGAAGAAAAGAAGCAAAGCTCTCTTCTTTATTTCAAAGTATATTAATGGATTTCCCATTCTATACCCTCTGCATTTCCTATGAGTAGTCATATTTAATATTACAAATTAAGTGATTAAAACAGGATAAAAAGTTCAACAACAAAAACCAAAGTATAGATAGAAGACTGGAAGGTAATATGACAAAATGTTAAGTGATTATCTCTTGCTAGAGGGACTACTGGATTTTTTCTCTTTTACATATTTCCTCAGTATTTTATAGTACATCTTTTACTTTTTATAAGATTAAAAAAAGTTGTTTTAAGCAAACAGAGACTATTATAGATATACATTACTGTTTCAGTACAAAACTGGCAAAAAGATATAATGAAGACCTAAATTCACTGTGAATTTAAACAAACCAAAATAGCTATCTCCAATAATATAACTTCAGCCCCCAAATAGTAAGCAGCAAAAACAAACATGACTGATAAGTTTTGGTCTTTTCATAGGTAATAAGGAGCTTCTAACCTTATTTTTTGGGTTACCAAGAATCTTAAAGAGTATAAGACAACAATTCACAATTTTATGGCTTTATATAAAAAGCATTCTTTCTTCCGGCATCAGCACTCTCTGGAGGACTCGTGCCGGGGGATGATCATCAAAAAGCCTCCACAGGGATCCGGACGATGCTGCGGTTGTGGCTGCATCCAGCCCACCATCTCCTGGACTTGCCATAAGAAGGAGGAGGGAGATGTCTAGGCTGGCATGTGCATACAGTGAGACAACGAATTTGACTGGATCTGTACTGTTGGAACTCAACCAGGAGTTGGGAGGGGTGCAAGTTGTAGCACCCCAAAATCTCATGACTATAGACTATCTATGGTTAAAAGAACATATGGGATGTGAACAGATCCCAGAAATGGGCTGCTTTAATTTGTCTGATGGTTCAAGTACAGTTGGAAAATATCCATCATATCATAGATAAATTTTCACAAATGCCTAGGGTGCCTAAATGGTTTTCTTGGCTTCACTGGAGATGGCTGGTAATTATAGATTTGCTTTGTTTATGTCACCGTATTCCTATTATGTTAATATGTGTGTGCAAATTAGTTAGTAGTTTAAAACCTATACATACTTAAGGTACTATACAAGAAGATATGTCAAAGAAATAATCAATCCTCCCAAGTTTCCTTCATATGCTACATCTATAGCTTTTCTTCTTCCTTCCTAATTACAA